TATATATTATATATATATATATATATCTTGACTAAGCTTACTAATGATTTATACAGACAGATAATAGAAAAATATCACTCTAATAAAAAATATTTCTTCGCTAACTTATCAGATTTAAATGTGGTTATCTACTCCACCAGTATAGTAATACTGCTGAAAATTAAAAGGATACTAAATAAATAGCACAGTTCAAATATATTAGAATTTTAACAGAAAATCTTTCTAAAATGTAATAGTATTGTAGTCAGGAATGTAATAGCATTGTACTCCTTTTTTCCAGAAATCTGACCAATCAGAGTGGATTAAAGTATTTGGGGTTCCCGCACCCTAATAGCATTGCACTGCAATGTCATTACCCCTCTGGTGTAGTCGATATTTGACGGTGATTGCTGAGCACGGGAGCTTCTAACAAGAGCTTTATCCCCAAAGCCCGGCCATCTAGCTGAGCTAACCTAGACCAGTACTGTAGCAGATTATGGCAGAGAACCACGGTCGTTTATGACTGGTCTCGTGTTATGTGGCTAAAAATTCATCCATTATCAACAGAGTCAACGCAACATCCTCTTATCTGACCGAGCCAGCTACGCATGGACTTCAATGCCTGAAGCAAGAATTTTACCAAATTAGAAGCAATGCAGGTCATGTATGTAGACGTTGATAATATAGATACTGTAAAAGCACGGACAATCATAGCTGAAAGCCGCATGATAATGCGATTGACGAGCACAGCCTCCCGGGCCTAAGTTGAGCAGTATCTACCAAGGCAGAACACCGCGGCAACACTCTCTGTGCCCAACGGACAGGCCTTCAATGACTGGGATACGTATTCCGTCTCGAGCACACAGTACCAGCCAGTATGTTACCCACCATTACCCTCTGTTTACCATGACTACCGAGCAAGAAACCCTAGCTACCCTTTTTTGGGCGTGCTGGTCACCATTGCCTAGGAACTCATACTCATTAGACCCAAGTCAACGAGACAAAGATAATTCAAATGGCTAATTGATCACCTTCCAAATCGGGCTGGGTCCCTCGATCACGAGGAACGGAACCAACCAACGAGTTCCCCCGAGTCATGAGACAGTTGGCTGTCTCCGCACTCCCATTTCCTAAAAAACACGGAATACCCTGATAATTCACAGAGGAGGATGAAGATCAACTCAGTCTCAACTTTGGTGGTTGCCATCTGTTGCCACCTGTTGCTTGCCGGGCAATCCACTTTGCTGGCATTCCGATCGTTCCATTGTTGCACTCTAGCCGCTCGCGTTCTAGATCTTTTATGACAATAGGGTAAATAAATTAAAATTCCTGGTTCTTGTATACCGGGACTTCCATTGCGAACTTCCACGGCCGTCCTGGATCGGCGGATTGCCAAGACCGCCATGTCCCCGGTTCGGGCGTCTCTCGAGTTTGATTGGTCAATGTGAACCAAGCCAGACCGTCGCCAAGACTAAAGCAAGACTGGCCAAGAAGCTTTCGCGGGGCCTGGAAACTCTCCCCGTGCGTGTGTGTGGAGATTCTCTCCACGGGGAAGCGTCGCGTCTCGTACAATGCAGAGGTCAATTGACTTTGAACGTATCGCAACCGAATGATGCAAGAAATGGATGGTAGTTTTGTATCCGCGAAATGCACCGCATTATGGGGCGACGGAATGGATGCATTTAGTGGTGCATTTAGGTCCCAAGAGATCATTATGTCGGTTTACTGTTCAATACCTGCCATCTACTTGGCCCCAAATTGGTTTTGTGTCCGGAGCAGGCTCCACACAATTTCCCTGGTCGCTTCGCTCTGAAAAGCCTGGATGGTTTCTAGGGGCAAGGTCCATTGGAGGGGCCCTTACGCGATTGCCACGCTCCCACGAAACTACCCCACTGTGCCCTTTCCCGTTTTCTCTTTGGAAGGTTTGGAGTGTGTCATTCAACCCCACACGGACTGTCTTGGCGACCAGGCCGACTCTGCCCAGTCCGGGCTTAGATTGCGTTTCGGGTGGTAGTTAACCCCCGCCAAGTCCATGATTTGATTGCCGGCAGGCTAGCACAGCCGGCCCCCAAGTGCTTAGCACTGTTATCCCTCTGCAAACACCGTTGCAGTCCTTAATATCTTATTATACATGGGAAGGACCTATCCCATCTTTGTTGGATAATCATGAATTCGATAACTCCTTAAGCGACGGCAATATTCTTCAAATGTTCCCCCAATGGAAAGGGAGCTGCGTCGTCAGCCATCTCGGTAGGTTTGTTCGCGTCCTCTGGCAGCATTCTCTATGGAAACGACACTGGGAACATGAGATTAGCTAATGAAGATACGAAGCATTCAGAGTTGGCTCTGGAGGATGTTGAAACGGCCTAGTCAGCCAAACGGTCCCCACAATGCAGTTAGCAGCACCGATATCGAAGCACCGGCGAGTTTCTTCGGGGAAACTCAAACTCTCACCCCGCAAGTTGACCAACGGCAGCATTGGGCCAAATGAACTAGTAATTCTGGTATTTTTAAAACTTCTTAAAGCCATGTAGGTTCGTGTCTCAGGCACAAGTACTACTGTAGGACGGCAAATTTCTCCTCGGGAAATCGAAGCCGGCAACGGCTTAACAAGAATGCTAAATCGTTAAAATGGCTGCTGTATCTGATCAGTATATTCCCTTTCCTTATCAGTGTTTTTATTATTAAGGTTGGGTGGCGAAGTCTTGATCTCGTCAAAAGCGCGAGTTGGGTTGGGTTTCCCCGCTTGACCCAGAGCCCGCCAAGATAAATAGAATGGGGTGCAGACGCAGTTATTACAGCGAGCATACACGCCGAATACCCAGTCGCCAAAATTTTACCTACACCGCGAATCACGTCGAGTTCCGGCCTCATCCGGCTTCAGCGTGCGAATTGGACGGTGTAACGTCGATAATTTGCCCTACTTCTAGACTAGCTTCTGCCACTACCTTCAACAGCTGCCAGGGAATCATCCTGGACCGCATTTTTTTTAGACCTAACCCTGCCGGTATCTGCACACGGCCAACTTTAACTAGCTTATCCCGCGTCCGGTCTGCCGTAGACATTCGTACCATTCTTCGAGACCCAAATGAGATAAATCAAGTCACTCTTAATGTAGTTTGTCACGAATTGTTACTGCCTTTCTGACTGTGAATAAGCTCCATGCTATATCCTACACCGCACCACATGGCAGCGGCCTAAGGTCGCTGCGAACGCGACTGGGACAATTTTGTGAATTACCGTCTGTATTACTACGTCTGTCGTTTCGGTCATATGTGCTCATGGGTCCCTGGCGGGTTAGTAGGTACCCGTACGGCGTCCCGAAAAGCATTATGAGGAAGTCTCCGCACCAACAACTTCCGGAGAAATATCGGTGCTTTACCCAGCTTCCTCACGCGGAGCAAGCCCGAAGAAGGGCCCAAACAAAGCGGGATTGAACACGGTTAGCCGAGAACTCAGTCTGGCTCTACAGAAGCCTAGCAAGTGGGGCCCCGAAGTAGGTACGAGAGAGATTACGACGCAGTTAGACCCTTCGCCACCTCTCCCCCCGGGGAAGTACCGTCGCTGCGAGATTAATCGCGCATAGGGTGCCGAGACACCCCGTGGAGAAGGGTTGTCTGGTCCGGGGCAATGGGCTGCTGGCGATACAGGACGAATTACGTATTATTGCCTCGCGGACATATTGGCGCTCTCCGCAAGAATGAATTGGAGCTGATGTGGAATGGACTAACGCGGGATTCTTTGCAAGAACGTCATACTCAAGATCCCCTTTGCTAATCTTAATCTTTGCTTTTCTCTAGGCCTAGCGATTTTCGAGAACCTTGAATAAGGCCGAGAAACGCCCAGACGTTTTGACCCCATGGGGAGGCACACTCATATCTAAAGTTATCGCTTAGTATTTCTCAAATGCTTCGAGTAGTCTTACCATTACATATTGTGGCAGAGTACTTAGTATGCTACCAGTTCCGACCGGGCAGTCTTCGGAGAAAATCACACGGGCCCCAGTCAACCCCGGTCCTGCTGAGCCGTCCGACTTGGCAATTGGGTGTGAGCCCGTAAACTTTGCCCATGCACGTTCCTTCCGAGCGGGGGGGGGGGGGGGGCATGGAAGTTTCTTTGCTAAATGGACTCAGAGTATTGGGGGTGTCGCTCATTTACTACTCAATCGAGTTAGGCATTTTGGGCCTTGAGGGTTTCCGGGAGCTCGGTATATCTTACGACCCTACTTCTGTTAGCTGTTCAAGGACCCTTAACGTCGAGCCTTCCACGCTCGCTGCGATTAAAAGAACCTTTTCTCCATGGCGTGGGTTGGAATTTATAGTCGTTAGGCGCGTTGCGTTTCTTATTCACGTAGCCCCATAATAATACAAACCTGATACACATTGATGCAACCGCGTTTTTTCCAGAAGAGAAAGAAAAGACTTCATTATCGGATACTCTGGGGACTTGTGGGGTCGAGGAAGTGGGGTCTGGGGCATGGAGGTCGGGGATTGGAGAGAGGTACAATGGTACGGAGTACAATAATCCGCAGACAAACTTCTCGGCGAAACAGGCATTATATAGAGGGCATTGGGGTCGTCTGACATTTTTTTTTTCCACCCTGACCACACATAATCCTTTCATCATCTTGATTCGACAGACTCGAAATGAGCGATAACTATGAGGAAAAGCCTGATGCCATTGGCAAAGAGTTCAGCGATGAACTCACGCCCGAGGAGCGTGAGCACGAGATCGAAGCACGCAATCTGCAAAGCAATCAGTATCTCGACAACGAAACACTGTATGACCGGATAGCGTTCGCGCAGATACCAGTGCACATGAAGAGCCCTCGCATGCTAGTTATCACACTGGGCGTGTTCGCAGCGTTCAGCGGCATGCTGAGTGGGTTAGACCAGTCGGTGATCTCGGGCGCGCTGCCTGGTATCCGCAAGCATTTCATCGCGTCAGGCGAGTGGGCGAGCATGGACGACCCGAAACTGGCGACCGACATTTCACTGATTTCTTCACTGATGCCGCTGGGCGCAATGGCCGGCGCGCTCATCATGACGCCGCTGAACTTCTACTTTGGACGCCGCAACTCGATTATCATCTCGTGTTTGTGGTACACACTGGGCAGTGGACTGTGTGCAGGCTCCCGTAGTGTGGGGATGCTGTTTGCGGGCCGATTCATTCTGGGCATCGGTATCGGAATCGAAGGCGGCTGTGTTGGTATCTACATCTCCGAGTGTGTGCCGCCAGAGGTGCGTGGCAACCTGGTGTCGGTATATCAGCTGATGATCGCATTCGGAGAGATCATCGGATACGCCGCCGGCGGCGTTTTCTTTGACATCCCGTCAGGCAGCTGGCGCTGGATGCTGGGCTCGTCTCTCTTGTTTTCGACGATCCTCCTGGTTGGGATGGCCTTCCTGCCAGAATCACCGCGCTGGCTGGCATCCAAGGGCAAGTACGGGCGCGCGTGGCGGGTGTGGAAGTCGCTGCGCGACATGGCCGACCCAAAAAGCCTGGACGAGTACCTTGCGATGGAACTTACAGTCAAACATGAGGTCGACCAGTCCTCGAACGAGAAATGGCATCAGAGGTATCTGGAGGTGTGCAGGACGCCGCGCAACCGACGAGCGCTTGTATATGCCACGGCTATGATATTTTTCGGGCAGATGACGGGCATCAATGCGGTGATGTATAATATGTCAAACTTGATGGCCAAGATGAACTTTGATGACCGCGAGTCAGTGCTGATGTCGATGGTGGGCGGTGGCGCGTTGTTCCTGGGAACAATTCCTGCTGTGTTCACGATGGACAAGTTTGGGCGCCGGGTGTGGGCGCAAAACATCCTGATGTTCATCGTGGGTCTGGCGCTGGTGGGCGTCGGCTACCTATACACGAACAATGGTGTTGATTATTTCAATGAGCATAAGGCAACGGCCTTGGGGTTGTTTTTCTCCGGTCTGGTGCTGTACATGGCGTTCTTCGGGGCATATTCGTGCCTGACCTGGGTAGTGCCAGCAGAGAGCTTTGGTTTTAGCACCCGCAGCCAGGGCATGGCGATCTGCTCTGTATTCCTTTATCTGTGGTCATTCATTGTGACATACAACTTCGAAGGGATGCAGAAAGCGATGACCTACACCGGCCTGACAATCGGTTTCTTCGGCGGCTTGGCCGCGCTAGGCTTCTTTTACCAGCTGTTCTTTATGCCCGAGACCAAAGACAAAACATTGGAGGAGATCGACGAGTTGTTTCTAATGCCGACAAGTAAGCTGGTTGCGCTGAACACAAGCAATCTGCTTAAGCCCTTCCGGCGGCGATACCGGCCAGAGCAGGTCGACAACTATAACCCCTAAATAGTTGTTCTTTTCACCTATCAGACCAACGTTCATGGTACCAATAAAGAGCGACAAGGTTACTCAAGTTGAATGTAATGAAATCATGAGGACTAATACATCGCTGCCATTGCATAACACATGTTGTTCCAATCAAAGAGGAAGCAACAGCGTAGAGCGAGATTCTGCATATCTGATAAACATGTTTTCCACCTACTACCTTCCATGCGAAGCCTATCATCTGATCATGATTTGACTTCTGATTCTCTTGTTTTATAAACCTGATATAAAAAGTATTAACGCTCACAGTCTCAACAGCAAGTTTGGCTGGTCCCTGATAAAAGGCTCAACGCTGTTTCTGTAGCCGCTCTTCACCCGCAGGCCTCTTGTGAAGCGGAATGCCTAACTAAATAGTTGTTCGGTATGAGCGGCAACCAATCAACCGATCACAGTGATGGCCATGGTATGTTCATCGAAATTGGCAACAGAACATATGATAGACTGAGGAGTTTATGCTGGTACAAAATAATAAGAATGTCCGAAAGGGCAAAACTGATCGAATAAACAAGTCGGCACACAGTTCACGTGGGGCAACGGATCAGGTCGCGATTGAAATAATAAATCACGGTTGAAACGGCTCTTATTGCATTTCAACTGTAAAACACAACCGATTGCACAGGTTCAGCCAAGGGACGTGTCCTGGATTGCATCATGCACGAAACACATCACGGCTATCTGCTGCATGCAACTTGTTGAGCGCGGACATTTTCTCTTGATGATGCGGAAGGGGTAAAGCGGCTTTGTCCAGAATTGAAGGATGTGCGTATCTTACGTGGTGGGGAGCTTTTGAAGAAGAAGAGTGGGATTACGTTGAGGATGCTTCTTACTCATACTGGTTTGTCAATCTCATCTACACCGCGAAAACTACCTAATAGTTGCAGGAGTTGTGAAGGGAAGGATGCTGATAGTGATAGCGCAGCTGGCTTCGGATACTTGTTTTCGAATCACGCCTTACGGGACTACGGTCGACAAGCAGGTCATGACGAGTTCTCGGGCTGTTTTATGGACTTCATGCAACCGTTGGTTAAGGAGCCGGGGGAAGTGTTCGAGTATGGTGCACTTCTTTTTTTATCTTCTTTACTTCTTTCTTCTTGACCTGTTGTGCACTGCAAGATATATACACTTTCTATCGTCCTGCACGTCCCTAACGATATCATTCAGATCAACATGGACTGGGCTGGTATCGTCCTCGAACGGCTGGCAGGCCAGAGACTGGACGACTAATATGGAAGAGGAATCTTTTCGTCCGCTTAGATTAACTAATGCTTCAATGATTCTATCGATGGAAATGAAGGCTAAGTTGGAATACATGCATCAACGAACGCCTGATGGTAGGATCACGATGAGGGATCACCTACTCCACAGGGGTTGACGGTGATACAGACAGAAACAGATATTAAATCATTCTTTCATAGTGGTGGCGCTGAATGCTTCTATACTGCTTCGGACTACGCTCGTATGTTACTTCTTATCCCTCCTTTTTCGCTTAGATTTGCCCATGCGCAGCATGCCTTCCTACCTACCTTGCCTGTCGTCAGGGAAGTGAAGAATACGAATAAGCTGATGCTCCTGTGATTTGTCCATTAACAGAAGAATGCGAGCTATATGGTAGGTCTGCATTGTTTCAGCACACATCAGGGTAGTATATAAAGTGGCATCGAGGGTTTCAGTATAGGCACTCATGCCCGATGTTAGACCCGACAGGTCTATAGTTCTCCCGGCACATCCTGCAAAGTTGGGAGGCAGGTAGCTGTTCCATGTCTGCAACTGGACTTCCAATCTCTTCCACCTTTCAAGTAGGTCCTGGGTCGCCCCAATTCGTGCGCTGTGGCCTGGTCGCCGGGGTTCAAGCTATCGCCGGAGGTGAGAAAGTTTAAGAATTTTCCAACGATTCAGACAAGGGCGTTGCTGCATATGTCCGCTTCAAGCGACGTATGATCTGTGTTAAATTCATTCCCGGGAGGATGTGATAATAGCAGTCTGTGGGTGTCTATGGAGAGGCCGAAATATCGCCAAAGTTCGAAATTGAAAAGATCTAACCGAGTCTGGGTCTCACTAATGACTATGTCTAGTCAGCAAAGAGCAGGGAACGGAGTAGTGAGGAAGGTTAAGGTGGATGTCATGACACTCACAAGCAGATCTGGCAACCTTGCCGTGCAAGACTCCAGAAGACGGAACGGTAAATTTGAAGGAATGTGCTTGTATTGGCCGTGAGGCTGGAATACAGGAGAGGCATAGCGCTGAAATGGGCCCTCCATTCCATGCTGGGAGTCCCAATCAACTCACAGACACAAGAGTATTGCGGTAACCAAGAATACCCTCCTGTTGGCTCGCGGAAGCAGCTAGTCAACCCTTACGTCTTGGGAGACAATAGCTCTCTTCAAGTCAATAAAAGAATTGTCGTAGAACTTTAGAACCCCCAACCGATTTCCTCGGAAATCCATCGGAAATAGCTATTCTTCACCTGAGGCGGTTGAAACCAGGCCTGTTCCCACTTGAGGTACGACATAAATGCTTGGCGGCCAAAGAGCATATTGAGGCTGATAACATCGGTCCCATCGCCGCCATCACAGGCGCTTTAATCGAGAAGTGCGCGCTCGAGTCGAAGAACTCCATCCTAGCCATACGTTTTGAGGGATTTAAATGCAGTTTGTAACGGGATTACCATTGCGCGGGAGATTTCGTGAAGTAATGTAGTAGCTGTGTGATGAGAACACCGGTTCCCCCTTCTGCGGTGTTCCCACCAGCTGGGGAAGCTTGATCACGTTCTGTAACTGGGACGGACGTATATTTGGCCAACTTATGTTCATCTGTAATGGAGGGACTGCGCAAGGCAGAAGAATGGGCTGTTGCATCGTCTAATGAACTGGTTCCAGTGTCCACGAAGGGGCTGGACACTTCGACAAATGTGACTATACCGTGTCAACTCCGGCCCTTTTTTTTAAGCGGGGGGATACCAGGATGTGGAGCAACTTACGACGGGATGGTGGTACCTTGATCCAAGTATGCTCCGACCGAAAGAGCGGATACTCATCAGAGGGCCAACGTTGCTGTTGGCCAAACTTCCTAGTCTCCTTTTGGCCATCTTGACTGTCAAAGTGGCGAAAGATGGGACTGGACGTGAATGTGCAACCACGGGTTGTTCCAGCACATGGCCCGCAGACAGGTTTAATTTCATCACACTAGACCTTGCACTGCCCACAAGTGACACTGTGAGAGTATTAGGAGATGAATAAAATTAAATTTTTATATTCTGTGTATAAAGTACTATTAAATAATACTAGTTTCAGACTTATTAGATATTATTTGACTGTTGTCCCATTGTGAAGATTTTCCTACTAGAATAGATTTTCTTCCCTCCACACATGTGCAAATACTCAGATTGGGAGACTGATGGGTGGATATAGTACTACCTAGGTTCCTTGAAGCTATGTATACTAGGATTCCGCATTAACATCTTTGACTCTTTCTTCATTATGTTTCTCGTCTGCTCAAACTTGAACTTGCGTTTGAAGTCATATGATACGCGACATGGCAGGATAATCCCATTTGTACCACCCACATCAAAAATGGATAGTGATCACTGAACGAAGCTGCTGTCTATGACAACATCCGTAGACACGCCGCTCAGCTTCTCGCCAAGTGCTTTCGCAACTGCCGCTGCCCCAGCCTTGGTAAAGGCTTTGGTCGCGGCACTTGAACTCCAGTACTTGGTAACCTCATTGATACGAGCCGTCACGAAATCCTGAAGGTTCCCTTGCATTTGCTCGAAGAAGTCTTTCGAGTAAGTTATCCATGCGTCTTCGAACGAGGAGGCTGTGATGCCGTTAACATTGGGGTTATTTTGCGCAGCTTGGTCGAGGGCCCCCATGGCTGCCTTGATTACTTTATAGCCATACTCCAAAGAATCTTGTACCTGTTGCAGTATGTCAGATCCCATGATAAACAAGAAAACTAAAGTAAATAGATTGGACTTACATCGGCACTGTTCAGGTATCCTGGCAGAGTATCGTAAAGCTGCAAGCAATAAGGAGTCAATATTAAGCGGAGATATTTAACAGCGCGCGGAATGACTCACACGATTGATCATGTCGACTTTTCCTTGTGCACTCTCCGCACTGAATCTCTTTGGCGAGATAATGTTGTCGAACAATTGCCAGGCCTATGTTTGCAGTGTTAGAGAGATATACAATTTAGCTCATGGTGCATACGTACAGCGGCTTTGAGCCCGTTCGTCGGAGCGTCCAAGATTTGAAGATTGCTAATATCAGCGGTACTTCCCAATGCATTAGCAATAGCCTCTACAGGGGTATCTCCAGTCAGGCCAGTAGGTTGTGTGACTCCTAGCTGGGCCCAAGTCTGGAAAAAGTAGCCATTCTGAGAGAAGACTTGGGTCCAGTCATAGTTCGATGCGGCTCCCGGAGCAGCCGCACCACTAGAAAGCTTCCCAGAAAGCATGCACGTGGCAAATTGAGCTGGGGTTTGAAGTTCGGTAACATGTTCGACCATGTAATTGGTGCCCAGGATTCGCTTTCCAAGAGTTATTGGCAGTCCATTACAGATGGCAGTCTTTGCGCCAGACTTGACCACCCCGTAGAACTGCCGCGTGGCAGACAGGGTTCCAACACTGGGATAATTTTTCGCTTTGAAGGTGCTGATAGTTTTCTTGTTTTGGCAAATTTTGGGTTTGCGAGCGCGCGGGAACAGACCACCAAATATTTCATCAGAATCCTCCTCTGTCGCATTGCCTATTGACCATAACAGCTCGCGGAACTCTTTACTATGTAACTTTGGCACTGTGTAGCAGTCATCTCTTTCACAGAGTTGCGGGAGGTCATAGTCTTCGTTACCTTGAGTGGCTAATACGGAACGTTTTGTAGTTAAATCTCTGACTTTCTCATATATACCACCGCTTCATTACATCTGGACTTCCAGTGTTAGGGAGTATGAAGCAGTCATCTTCGTACCAATACAGCTTAATGAAGTCTGCTGGATTTCCATCAGAGTCAAGCTTGTCAGAGTATACGTAGTCGGTATCTGCAGCTGAGCAGAAATTAGGAGGGTTGATCGTCGGATCAGTTTAAAGGCATATTAATGGAAACTCCTTGGCACGGTTTTGTGGGCCTAAAGCTACCTGGTTGAAGGTATCACAGCTAAATTGAAAAATCATTAGCGTTAATAAAATACAGTAAGGTTGGGAATATGGAGTTCACCAGAAGTAACTTGCTGTGTTGTGCCAGCATGGATATGTGGACTCATGATTGATGTAACTCTCAGCTATGATCTGTTTACCGGCAGGACAAGCTGTATTGCAAGTGAACGGAGCGAGAATTGTATGGGCACGAGTCGTCCTATAGTAGATCAGTATTCGAATTCTTCTAAAGGATAACCCTGATCAAAATTGAATCATACCATGAGCAGTTCTGATAAGGAACGGGGTCTGTACAGCACAAACTTTTCATCCCTAGAAAAAGGCGTTAGCAGAACTCCAGTTATTTCCGTACTGGATCGCGAAAGAATCCTGATTTTACTGTTATAGCAGACTGACTCTCTATCTTGCTCATCTATGCTATCTGTTAAGTACTCAGGATAATCTGAAGCACAACCAGCATGATTGTCACCTTTTACACAGTCTGGTGCAGAGCCTGACCATTCTATTTCGACTCTGTTAGTGGACTATTGGAATGCAATGTCGCATAAATCCCTCTTCTTGAAGGCTTAAGCAGGACTTGTAACTTACTGTACTGTCCAACTGCTGCATCGGATGACGTCGAAGTACAGCATAACGATTTATGGTTGAACCAACAGCTATGGCCCGTGGCAGATTGATCGGTTGCGACTTGAACTTCTTCCTTTGAGCAGGAATGGCTACGGCATAGGGGAGCCGAGCCTTGCTAAATTGAATAGTTAGCATATGCAACTGCTCGAAACACTGACATTTACATTGCAGGGAACTCGGATCGAAATAACGTACCCAGTGACAATTCGGAACGTGATCCGTGGGGCAACAGTAATTGCGCTTCTGGCCATTGAAGCATCCTGAGTAGATCACCACATTTGAAGCTGACTTTCCTTTCCTGTTAGTTGCGGGAGTAGTGCCGGAAGGATAGTCTTCATTACATCCTTTCTAAACACACTATGAAAGCGATGAAACCTGAGGAGTTTGACCTCTGAAAAAACTCTTCTTGATAAGGCCGTTTATTTCTAAAAGCTTTTAACTCACTGATCCATTATTAGTATCTGTAAAAACTGCTTATACTATAGTACTGCCAAGGCACTTGCTATTAGCATAATCTTTCTTTATCTTAATTATTATCTTATTATTATATAAAACCTACTGATCTATATCCTATGTAACAATGTTAACAGCAGTATCCTTATTAAGAACTGAAGTTATACCGCCTTCAGTAATTATAATAAGAATTTCCGAGTCTATCAAAGTTCCAAAGGATGCCGAGTAGTTACTTAAATTATTACTACTGTTAAATAGACAGCCAGCTACTATACACGACAGATTAGTAAAAATAAAGCTTCGGCTGTAAAAGCCAAGTCTAAGATTAATCTTTGAAGGAGATATATTATTACGCTAAAAGAAATCTATTATCTAGTTAATTTCAGTCAGATTAATATATGCATATATATACAGACTAATATATAAATCTATTGAATCCCATGTTCCATAGAGATTATAGATCATGATATTAAACCAGTTGACGGTCTTTTCGATCGTGACAATATTAAAGTTTTGTATATACTAATAACTAGACGGACCAGTGATTGATAATCTATAGTTATAGCCTGTTAAGCCGAGTGCAGTTTTCAGATTTTATAAGAATATTAGATAATTCTTGAGATCAGCAGCTTTGCTAGATCTTTCTAAAGTAACAGAATACTCCCAGTCAATGTTAGTATTATCAAAGCTATAAGTTGTCATGAATGACAGCAAGGATTTGAAAAATGCTGTTTAGGCTGATGTCAAAGCCGCAAGGTCCAAAAAAGTGGTGGCTGTCGGCTGGTCTGCATCATTCATCAACCATCCACCTAGCAAGAAGTCAGCAATGGAAATTCCCTTGCACTATTCACAGTTCCGTACCGATGCTTATCCATGTCTCAAGGCCCGTATTGTCCTCTTTGGTACCGGTGAAGCGAGAATAAAGACCCATGTCGCTCTCGCTCATAGGGGCCACCTCGAATGTGTCGGGATTTATGTAGGCAAACGCAAAGTTGAGATGAGTGTAAGCACCAGCGGGGAGTGCTTCGGGGACCACTGTAGTATTGAAGAATTTGTTAGCAATCGTATTGATTCAAAAACTTGAGTCAATTAAGACCCAACCGTCATTGGAAAATCAAAGCGAGTGAGAACTTACTGGCATCACAAACCCGGCTGATTGACCATCCTTCATAGTATCTAATTTGTATCTTAGCATTAAAATAAAGTCAACACTATAGTCAGAAGCGTGATAACTTACCCAATTGATCTTCCATCCACTGAACTCCCACTGCAGGAGGGTTTCTCGACGGTCTTGTTTCCGCAGAAATCAGAGGTAGTTCCTAATGATGACAATCCGGATTAGCAAGATCACGGCCAAGAAGTTTGATTTGGCAGTTTTGGTGACTTACCACAGAACCCATACTTCGAACAGCAGACATTAAGGGGGCATTTTTCTGCCGTGCTCCGTTCCGATCCCCAGCCAGGGTCGCACTCAGACTTCGCATCACAACTAGAAGTGCAGTTTCCGGTGCCGCAAAAGTCAGGTCCTAGTCCACTTTTAAACATTTGTTATTGCTTGCGACCTGAGATGGAATAACTGGCACTATCACTTACCAGACGCCAGAGTTACCGCAACATCCTATTGTGCAGGCTTTCGTTAGGGAGCTTGGGATATCAGCTATAATCCTTCGGGCGCATATGGATGCAGGAAGATTGAAAATACCAGGTATAGTCGTCGGTCGATGGAATGGTCCCTTGGGAATACGAGGGAGGCAGAGAACTGAGAAGACTTAGGACCCAGACGGCCCAAAACGTAGACCACATCCTATACTTGGACAGGTCTATAATCGAGTTTTAATCAGGGCAAGGTAGAAAGAAGTCGATATTTTATCTCTCAAAGTTCAGGGACTGGACCTCGCCAACGATAAAATCTCCCGAAGCGACTCGGCATCTCGGCAGACTCATACATTGTACAAATATTTTCAATTCGGGGGAATATCGGTTCCAGCACGATTATTTGAAAATACGAAAACCCCTTTTCATACAATACCCGACATGCACCTATGCCATTCTATCTCACGCTTAAGTCCGCGTCTTTCAGCCTAAGAAGCTCTTCCCGAGGGCGTTATCTGGCCCTGGGGTCTGAGGGGTATGTGACCGGCTAAAGCGCTTGCACTGGATTACCCCTGCTAGTGGCTGCGAACTAGACCCAAAACATTATTGATCAGTAGCATTAAGGGGTCCAGGTGTGGATAGATTCTGTTTTCAAGTTTCAATGTTAGGGCGAAATTTTACCGACAGGTTCACGAGCTCTATGCGCATGACCAACGCTTAGCCTCCGGAATCAAGCCTTGCGTTTGGATCCGCATTGGAGCGGACCATCCACACATATCCTCGAGTGCGATAGGCTATCTGAACACCACGGATATCCCGGATAGAGGAGGTTACATCGGCCCTGCATCTCTTGCTCCGCAGCCAATAAGATTAAGATTCAGGTACAGCATGATCCGATGCGCATATGAGACTGGTATCTGTCGATTGTGCAGGCTTGTCCAAGCTCATTGGTGAATATTCAGGAAAATCTAACATCTCCGCTTGGTAGACTCGGTTTTTCAATACAGTCTTGATACAGGATTCACTTTCTGCCATGCAAGGCTGCCGAGATGCCGGGAACGAGAGGAAATGATGCTTTCCGAATTGTTTTCCTAGTTCTGAAATATCGCTATAACTAGGAGGCTTGCAGATAGGAGTGAACCAGATGAGGGGCCGTAGTTGCGATCTGATTCAAGTCTAGAAGTCGGACTTGCCTCTTCTCAAGGCCCAGAGACCTTTACCCATCGCAAATCCATTCCTTCGCTAGATCTACGGGCCATCATGAAGTCTTTCGGCTTGGTCCTTTTGGCAGCATTTTTTACCCTCTGTCGGGCACAGTTTCAAGTTCTAGATGCTGAGACCATTGCAAACAGCACTTCTGTGACATTTTCTGATGCTTGCCTAACTGCTTTGCAGGGCACTGTGAACTGCAACAGCAGCTTGGTGAATATTGCCGCCGCAGATGATGTTTATGGCATTAACAATAATACATACGCCTACCTTTGCACCGATAGCTGTGGTTCATCTCTGGAATTATAACACAATACCGTCTCATCTGCTTGTGCTGGCCAGGATGAGGTTTGGAGTGGATATCCGGCGACATATTTAGGAGATGTGTACTGGGCGAGCTACAATCTGTCTTGTTTGGCAGATCCCACCTCCTGGGCGTCATGCATTGGTGAGTCGAGATTCCTGCTTAAGCCCTTTTATCGGAGGTAATCTCGCGCTATCAGACTCAATAATTGTCGATCATAGACTACTTCAACACTCTTTCGAGCAACTATACAGACGATATATCTGCAATCTCATTACCATCCTCTGTTGCATGCTCCCCATGCGTTCTAGAGTTATACCAGTTTCTCCAAAAGACGCCATATTCATACTACGATTCCGAGATGGCATCCGATTGGTCTTCTATACAAAGTCTTTGCAACGTCAGTCATCCAACAGACGTCCCAAAGAATCCCACCAATGTCACTGATATTGCCGGATTTGCGCCTGCAAGCTATACTTCGCCAACTTGTTTGTCAGAAGCGACGTACACGGTTATTTCAGGGGATAATTGCATTGCTATTTCGCAAGCGCAAAATGTTTCCACTGGGACACTTATATCACTCAATAACTTGCTCCCCGATTGTTCTAACCTTGACGGTAACCCAACCCAACCACTCAGCGCACGGCCACATATGTCGCTCCAAATAGTATGCTTCTGAGCTAACAATGCCATGACAGCTGGCGCTTCATTGTGCCTTCCGCAAATGTGCGAGGTTTACACTGTTCAGTCTGGAGATACTTGTGAAAGTATCTATAATGAAGCAGGCATCATTTTTGTCCAATTAACTTCCTGGAACCCGACTATCAACAGTTACTGTTCTAACCTGATAGCTGGATAAGCCGTTTGTGTCAGGCAGGCAGGAGTCACATGGACTGGGACAACCATTCCCGGTGCTTTAGCCACTTAGACCGGCGTGTATGCTACTACCACCGTTGCCGCTCCAAGTAACCTGGCTTATGGGACCACAACCGACTGCGGCCATTATTATATTGTGTAAAATGGAGACGACTGCAGCCTCGTCATGCTCAATAATATCATCACAGTCAGTCTGTTTGAGGCGATCAACCCATCAATCAATGCTGGATGTACCAACTTGGTTCCTGGGTTGGCTTATTGTGTGCGTCCAGTGGCAAACTGGAACAGCACCAACGCGACTACAACTACGACGGCTTCCTATGTTACTGCGCCGGCACCAACACCTTCTGGCACCACATCTGATTGCTACGAGTGGTATGTGATTGTCAGTGGAGACTACTGTGCTCTTCTAGAGAGTAAGTATGGAATTACTTTTACGCAGTTGCTGGCCTGGAACTCGAATTTAAATTCGACGTGTGGAAATCTCATTCTGGGAGATGCATACTGTGTGGATGGACCAAGAAATGTGTCATGTACCAGCGGGATTGCTTCTGCGACGGCGGTTTCGACGGCGCTGAATCTTTGAATTGCGGTCGCTGCACTCCTTCTGCTCACGCAGAATTCTAATTTAGCAAGCACTTCAGTATTCCAAAGGCTGTGGGTTGTCTTCTTCCTTACCATTGACTTGAAGAACTAGGTGCACAAATATTGCCGAGTAGGGAGCTGAGATCGATAACTTCGATAATATGCAAATCAATAATCAAATAGTAGATGGAGAAAGTCTCCAGTACTCATCAGGTCCAATACTTGATAATCACGAATCTGGTTTGTGCACCGCTAAGTAAAATAGTGCAAACTACTATATAGAGGGTCCAATCGGAGCATGCTATATATTCCCGAGGCACGAGGCGTTGAAAAATGAAACGAAAAACCAGCTTGTAAACCCAGACCCTAGAACCGAAACCAGGAAAGGAAATTGAATCTGAAAAGGTCACTCGGGCCGACCGGAGATTACTTTTCACTAGGCTCCAGTATTACTCCAAGTTTATGCCTCGCGACCAGTCCTAGGCCACTCTTAATAAAAGAATCGGGAGCCTAGGTTGCTATAGTTACGCTAAGCTTTCAAAAGTTCATACAAGCTTTCTTACCGAGTGGGTCCTTACCGGGCCCCGTCCCCGCCTTTGTTCAATATCGCAACCTTTCTCCTCAAAATTCCTTCTTTTCCTCACCCATATGCCTTGTCACAGCTTTTCCCTCTCCAACCCAAGACATTACATATCAAAGGCTTCAAGTATATTCGCCGAAGATGTTTTCTTTACCACCCGGATGGACTGAAGAGCGACTTCGAACCATAACCGAGGATGACTTGCGTCAAATACCGGAAGAGGTAAGCTTATGATCACCTTCGAACTTTATGGAACCCTCCATTGAATTGTACTAACCATCTCTCACCAACACAGCGAATCCGCCAAATTGATTTAAATTTGATCCCCTTCGACAATGTTCGAGCTCGCACAATCATCTCATTTGCGAAATTGTTCGAGGAACAAAGATTAAGTCGCGCGAGAAAGGGCATGCCCCCTGCCCCTCCAAAAGATATATTCAAAATACCCGATGATGCAGTCGTCCAGGTCGTGGAAGAGAATGGATTCGATGACTTCGGTTTCATTACTTTCCGAACAGATTACTCAGATGATGAAAGCTGGGATAAATGGGATGCAGAGTATGATCGCCTAATAGATTTGTCGATAGAAAGGTCCGCTGGCGGTCAGAAGATCATGGATAAATGCTTGATGCCTCGCTTTGAGGATCCGGAATTACATGGTGCTACGCATCAGCAGATACAACAGTAAGATCAACCTCGAAATTTCAATGTTGTCAATGCAGATCACTGATACAAGCCAGATCATACTATGGGTACATAGAAAACGAGGGCTTAGCACCGGGATTAGATGTGGGCCTATGTCTGGTTGCTGATACTGCCGCTGTAGAGTCCATGAACAGTGACCTGCCATGGGTTTACGCGTTGGACATGAATTTTGATCATTCGAGTGAAGTAGAAGAGGGGGGATATTCAGGGTATTTCAGAGTTGCTGTGGTCTCGGTGATCCCAGAACTTTATCCCATCCTTACAGCTATGCCACCTGCGGAGCTTTGGTCTCAGGGTGATGAGATATGGCAGTCAATCGTTTAGTCAGAAACTGTTGATATTGTAAATTAAAAAGGACCATTTGGTCAATATAGCATTTAGATAATAATACATGCTTTGTCCTTGTTCTCCTATGAGTGCATTATGATGGTTTCTCATGGGGATTAAACTTACTCATAGCATAGAAGTAATTCCTTAGTCGGGGCTAGTACGGCCCATTGGGATGGGTCAAATCAATAGGCAACTCCATCCATCCCGGCTCATCAAATGCGACGTGCGCATTATCGTGAAGCGTCTGTGTCCAGAGGACCTCCAATTTCACCCAAAATAATTTCTCTGGACGCTTCAGCACAATTTCTGGCACGACCACTCTCACACTGGGAGTCTCTTGTCGTAAGAAAAGGCCTCCAGGGCAAGGAGAAAAGGTAGATGATTGGGCGATCCCAGATCCACAAGACCCACAACCCATTTTTAGCTTGGCCAAGGCTCCCATAAAGCCAGACCAAAAACCTGCAGCTTAAAAGAGTGCATTTTTCATTTCGCCCAGTCACTATGCAGACTCAATCATGTAAGACACGCTGTTCTTTACGTCGGGCAGGGACCCTTTTAGAAACCTCGCAATCCAGAAGGGACAATCAGAAAATCATAAGGAGGAAATACTACACGCTGTTTAAAAAAAAATTCGTGTCCTCCCAAGAGTGTGAAAGCAGATGTTTATTTGATATTCTCATGAGGAGAAGTGGATTGATATATACACTCGCATCAAAGTCCCCGGACCGGCCCCTTCGGCACAAAGCTTGGCAGGGTTAACGTAACTCCCGGCCGCATCGACCACCCAATACACCGCCCAACATGTTTCTACATGCAACCACTCTTTCTATCAAAGGCAGTGCATTAGCAATGAGTCGTACAATGACGTTTCAGGGCGGTGTGGTAGGGGTGGCCGGCGCGGGCGGGTGGCCGATGCGGCCGGGAGTTACGTTACATTCCAACATATTTCTGAATTGCATACGTGGTCACATGACTCTACACGTCACTACTGTAGTCCAGTCCTTAGTCAACTTATAGAGCACTTCCATTGGATAAACTCCAATCATTTAGGATGAATAGACATTAGGTCATTGCAGACGCTTTTGTCTTTCTTAGCTCTAGACTCTATTCGAGGTGTGCAGATGATGACCTCGCTTCATCATAATATCCCGACATGAATATTGCGAGGGGGAAGAGAAAGGGCCTTCAGCTCCGCCCACCGTGGAAGCCGGGCGATCCATGGGCAGATCGTAGTGGAACTGTTACACCGTCGATCGACTGGGGAAGGCAGGCCTCTCTGATATTGAAGAGTTGATGTTGCCAATGATGCCTGAGCACCATGTACAGGTAAACTCTCAACACACCAAGCATCTTTCATACCTCAGTCTTAATCAGGATTTCAATGTAGTTTCGACCGAATGATGAGAGGCGGCGGAAAGAGAATGACGCACATGGCGGCATGGCCAGTCGGTGACTTCATCATGAGTAGTTAGTCAACTGCTCCTACGGCCTCTTAAGACCCGCAACATACAACAAATGCATGTATTTTTATCTCGTTGCGGAGCTATACCCTCAGGTGACTCCAGTTGACCAAAATGCAAGCTGTCAAGAACACTATTGCCGAAAACTTCGGCGGTCCTTCTCACAAACTCGCGGAAGAGAAGTTCGATCTAGATGATGTGCCCGACTTGAGCGGTAAAGTAGCGGTGGTCACAGGAGGTACAGAAGGTAACTTGCTACACTTTCTCCGAGCCCGCCAACTTCCCGCACGCCTGCAATTGGAAGTTAACTATAATATCTACAACAGGTATCGGCTTCGGCGTTACCCATACCCTTCTCTCCAAAGGCATTTCCAAGCTTTTCGTGACTTCGCTCCGCAAGGAGGTCGCCGATGATGCCCTCTCTGCTACTGAGGAGGAGTTCGGTCCCGAGACACGCCAGCGCTTCATCTGGATCCAATGTGACCTGTCGGACTGGGAGCAGACTGCTAAAGTGGCAGCTGAGATTGCTTCGCAGACGGACCGCATCGACATCCTTGTCAATAATGCCGCCCGGGGCGTCATGACACGCCAGCTGGCTCCTACCAACGGGATTGACCTGCACATGGCAGCCAACCACATGGGTCACGTTGTGCTGACCTCGCACCTGCTCCCAACGCTGAAGAAGACCGCCGACGCTGGAGACACTGTTCGTATTGTCAACGTCTCCTCCAATGTAGAAGGAAGCACGCCCAAGGATACGGAGTTCGCGTCTGTGGAGGAGTTGAATCGCGAATATAGCCCCACAGAGCTGTATGGTCGGTCCAAATTGGCTGTGCTCCTATATGCTAAGTGGCTCAACGCCCACCTCCGACCCACACACCCCAATATCATTGTTAATGCAACTCATCCGGGGGTCGTCGATACGGCGCAGACAAATGTCCATATCCATGAGGCCCATCCCGTGCTTGGGTATGGCCTGTCCGCCGGCTTAAAGCCGTTTCGGAAGACCCAGTTCCAAGGGGCCGTGTCCACCATGTATGCCGCGACCATGGCGACCGAAGGTGGACAGTTCATTAATCCACCACGAATCGTGGAAAGAGGCAGTGATAAGGCCAATGACATGGAGTTAGCGGACAGGCTGATGAAGTTGACAGCTGAGGTGGTGGAGAAGAAAACACGGCCGCACAGTAGCGCCAAGGGTTGTCCGTTTACCGAGGACTAGATTAGAGTCCAATAATTCCCGCGATTATTTGGCGGTTTACGTCTTGCCTGCTCAATTTTGTAGCCTGAATTGGTATCAACACACCGCCATCTCGGGTTTGGTACACGAGGTCGGCCAGAGGTCTTTTCTGAGCGACAGTGATGTCGACGAAAGTACTCCGACTCGTGTTAATCTTGTGGATCTTTCATCTTATTTCTATTCACCATACTGCATATTCTAGTTGTCGACTTCTGCCGTGAAAATGACCTTGACAGAATGGTAAAACAATGCTCATAAGGCGTCCACGTGTTAGAGAGAGGAGGTCGCATCTCAAACTTATGACATAACCTCCATGAAAATACATTCGGAGCAATATGTTGCTTCACAGCTTGTCCTGATGATCGTCTGACCCGATCAGATCAATTATTATTATTGTTATACCGTGCTACCACATCCGCCAGGCCGGCCTGGATTCTTTCCATGAATAGTCAGTATAATAAAATAGTCTAATACGGTTCAGAAGGAGTATCTTGCTTATTTGAATATTTACTAAAGGGTAAAGATGAAGATGCCGGGGTCTAGGTAAATTATCTAAAGAGAGACATGCATCATTATTACGTATATGAAACTGTTTCTTATCAACCCAGACACTGCGCAGCAAGTATCGAGAGATCAGCAGTCAGCTTAGGCGTCCCATATCGCTACTCAAGGGAGGCACCAGATGGGCCGGTAGTCGGCCTTACATATTAGAACGGCTATTTTTAGCTACGGGGCATCCAATCACCTAAACAGGAATTTATCAAAGATAGATATAAAAAGCCTTCTTCGCCTTGTCCTAATTTCACGATAATATTTCACCATACCCTTTAGGCACCATTATCGTCACTAAATCAAACATTTTCCTTCACAGCTTTAAATATGAGATTTAGCCAACCCCTCCTAGCCATGTGCGGCATCATTGCCTCGGCTGCGTCCACAACCACTTCGTTTCCTGCCAACTTTACTTTACTATCCACTCTTGATAACTCAGTACTTACCACGGATGGTTGGGGTATCTATGACAGCACCCTAGAAACTATATTGACGTGTAAGCTTCTACTTTTTCCTCCCTTACCAACTACCTATCTATTACACACACCTATTGATAACGCGCCAAACTGATAATTATAGTATCTCCCTATAAGGACGACACCATCGGATACGGGCCCTACGGCCAGGCACTGGCTGTGCTAGCCGATGAGACCTCGTTTGCATGGATCATTCAACTTCAGGCAGAGCCTGAGGCTATCGACACGGTGACTGGGTGGGGGGTCTCGGATGATGGGTTCCTTATGCTGAACGGAGAGCAGCTGTGGGCATTTAATGAGAGCGCCGCGGAGCCAAGGAGGCTGTATTGGGCTGGTAAGGGAAATGAGCAGGGCATGGTCAGTACACAGCTATTGGTGCAAAGTGTTTGACTGAGACAGGGCTTGGTGCTTACTACTATACTTGGAGGAATTCCACCCAATACTTGAATGCGCGAGCACTACCATGGGCATAGACGCTTCGTAACAAAATCTTTATACGTAACAATATATGAACGACTAATGTAGAAGTAAAGAGACTATAATGTAGAAGATGCTTATACAATTAGTCCTTTCACAGTGCTATATCACGCCTAGTCCACTGCGAGTGTGATGGTGAGCCGTTGTGATAGCCTTGTGAAACTCATCTTAGTGTTACTGGAGGAATACGGAGGTTTCCATCACCCATGTGTCTGGGATTGTTTCGCAACCCTACTTGTACCGACGGCATCTCTGTTTCCTTCGGAGTGGCAATAATCTGTTGGTACACTATGTCTGTCACAAGCAACTGATAACCTTGTGGTGAAATGTTGGGGTATGGAATCTGCATCTGCACCGAAGTGTTATAGAATTCTCAAGATGTAGGTGATTTTGGAAGATGAGGCGAATCAGTATGCAAAGGGTCTTGTTGACACTACGGTCAAAGAGGATGTGTGGACAGTCATCTCGGATTGATCGATGCCTTCAACTACTCAACATAGCAACGATAGCCATTCAGGATAGCCTTTTCCGTAAGACATTCTGTCATTCGAGATATATTAGTCTGCGCTCGCTGACAACCCTCATCGGTCCTCGTTTGAATTCAAGCAATCTCATTTCAAGGCTGGCTCCATATGATCCGTCTAAATGATAGCCCTGTACAAGCTGCTGAATGCTTCCAATCTTTCTGACATAAGCCCAGGCGCGTGTTGATGGTCTCCAGTCGGGCAGAACAGAGTCATCGTGCTAAAGTATGCGCGGCCTCACTGTATTTTCCACGGTTCAATGCATCGAATTCCGCCCTTGCATCACATATCCAATTTGATATTGTAACACTCTACCCTGAGATGCTTGGTTCTGCGCTAAATCTCAGTGATTGGTCCAGGAAATGCAACCAGCGGGGAATGTTAAATGCCGTGTCCAACTTCCCGAATTTCCGAACACGGCAATCAGTTCCGTACCCGATCATCCGAGATAACAACGATCGCTCGGGCTCGTCGGGTGGTAAGCCGAGGAAAGTGCCCGAGGATGTTTCCTGGACCACTATGATGCATTTACATAAACTCGGATTTATCGGGTAAGCTGCGAGTTAATTTATAGGCCTGGTAATAAGCTGTGTGAGAGCCACATTAACCTAGCCTCCCTGTTATCTCGTGAGTGATACGCAGGTACCGCCTACTCGTTTTCCTCCAACAAAGCTATTTCTTCTACTCACCGGCGACATCTACCAACCGTCAAAAAAACTACTACATACCGCAAATCTCACTTTATCATGCAAGCAGCCAATCGTCTACAGAAGGCGCTCAATGAGGGCCACTCGGCCTATGGAGCATGGCAAATGCTCCCAGGGGCAAACCTTACCCGTGCTATCTGTCGATCGGCAAGCAATATAGATTGGCTGCTCGTCGACTTGGAGCACGGGAATATTTCCGATGATTCGATGCATGATATCGTTGCTGCCGCTGCTGCATGCGGCGTGTCCCCAGTTGTACAGGTCATCGAAGGGCAGCAATGGATGATCAAACGCGCACTTGATTCTGGAGCGCACGGTATCCTAGTCCCTGTACTAGAGTCAGTGCAAGATGCAAGAAATATAGTGAAGTACTCCAAGTTTCCGCCTTTGGGTACCCGAGGGTTTGAACCCCTTCTCGCGGTAGAAAAGTTTGCCCAGCAGCATCCACATGGCGGTGGCGTAAGACAACTTACTGGCCGCGAATATCTCGAGCAAGCAAACACTTCGCTTGTCATCGCTGTCCAGATTGAGACAAGATCAGCTCTCGACCAGGTGAAAGAAATCGCTGCAGTGCCGGGGATCGATGTGTTATTTATCGGGCCGTTTGACCTGGGCGTCAGCATTGGTCATCCTATTGTCAATGGCCGCATGGACGAAGTCCTTATCGATAGCATAATATCCGTACACGAGGCTGCACAGAGTGCAGGTAAAAGAGCAGGTATCTACTGTGACAGCGGCCAGGATGCTAAAGAGTGGGCAGACAGGGGCTTCCTGATGAACAGCGCCGTGACCGATCTCATTGGCCTTCAACAGGTGATGAGCCAGGAATTCGAGGCGGCCAGGTAGCGGCCGCGAACACCCTTTCAGATATAATATATACTACATTATTGTGTTCCGCCCAGGTATTCAGTACCACCTGTCGGTTGTCTTAGTGTTCACTGTAGATATTCATCATCCAATGTTATGATCAGTGGCGCCTCCGCCTTCAAACCCACATGACCAATGCCCAGGCGTAGCTATTGAAACAGCTTCGACATAGCTGCTAGGCAGAATGAACTAGTCGGACTGGAATACTATGTCGAGGCATTCATGTAGGCTAGTCACGTGCTGCGCTCGGACCGCCCATAAAGTATCTCTTCATGTTGCTTTGTTTTGCTCTTCTAGATAGCTTAATTCAACTTATTCTTTTACTTCTGTTTATTTATTTTATTATTACTTTTATTACTGCTTCTGTAGAGTATTTCTCAAGAAGTTATGAATTCAGTCTCTACACTATAAAGCTATTTAAATCTTATTATAGCTAGTTATTATTACTAGATAAGATATTCTACAGAATACTGGTCTTGGCAAGTTTAATAAATCTAATAGAATTATATATTTATACCAAGAAATATATCTTATCTGTTCATTTATTTATTTATATTAAATACACTGAATAACCAGTATAGCATACAAAATTAGATATAGAATTTTATTTAAAAATCTTTTTCTAGAGAGAGAAATAGTTATTAAAACTATTTTATAAATAAATAAACTTTCTAAATAGATATCTGATAGTATCCCAGGACTGCTGAACTTACTAGAAAAATATATAAATTAAATAAAATAAGATTTTTAAATATATTAAATATTTAAGAATATCAACTTATTAAACTTGATTAATAAGGATCTGGCTAGACCTGCTGAAGATCATGAAAAATATAAGATTTAATATATTTATTTAACAGTTATACAGTCATGATTAACTCAGAATATATTAGATAAAATACTAGATCTGTTTGCGGACTTTGCTAATATAAAAGAATTAATAAATAATATATATAAAATACTTTAAAGAATTGTTCTAGAAGATAGTATTATATTTTATTAAAATATTATATATAATCTTATTAAATCAAGGAGATCTGAGTATATTATAATAATTAAATATATTAATAACTTCTAAATAAACTATGTCCTTGCTAAGATTTTATAATATAAAATATTTATTTTTATAGCTATACTCTTATTTCTTTAAAAGATACAGAGTAACGTGCCTGCATGAGTTATTTATATAAAGAATAAAATACCAGAGAATATGGATACTATATATAATAATAATAATTTCTATACTATCTGCTGGAATACAAGGGAATAGTATAGTAAATTCAGTAGAATAAAAATAGTAATTACTATGTAAAAAGATTAAAGCTTATTATAAAAGCCAAAAAATATTAAAGAAAAGTAGAAGAAGGCTATATATCCTGTAAAAAGTATTTTTTATAAAGAATATATTATTAGAATAAAAGAAATAATATCTGAGTGTATTAATAGAGTCTATAATTATTATAAATATTTTAACTACTGATAACTGAACAAAGTATTAGTATATTAATATAATCTTATATCTAAGATTATAATAATTATATATTCTAGATATCTAGTTTTTCAAGATTCAGAACAACTAACGCGGAGAAGGAAAATCAGATTAAAACTTAAAAAATAATTTTAAAATTATA